TGGCAAATTAAATGCGAAAATAAACAAATCGACAACAAAAAAAGGATGCAGTCAATACTGAGGTGATGGCTTGAAAGAAAAATAAAAAGCTTTGTTTGAATCACTCGAACCCTGAAGTTTCGATCGACCGAAAAACTACGTCTAAAAAGAACAGTTAAATTAATAACAAAATTAAGCAATATTGAGTGCTTGAAGATTACCCTGATGATTCTTCAGTTTTACAGATTGATTTATCAGTGTTATCACCTGATGAATAGGACTAATTATTGCGTATTTTTCAAAAATTAGACCGGAACACATTGTGGTTAGATATCATTTACTTAATTTAATAAAAATATAGGGAAATGAAAAAAAAGTTTAAAAAAATTAATACTTAATAATACAGAAGGTTGTAAGTGGTTCCAATTAGTAATAATAATAATATTACGAAGTAGTAACATTTTATTTATCAGTTTTAAATTATCCTTATGATTTTTTTCTTTAACTAGTTAGGCATGTATATATTTTGGACTATATACTGCACATACCCCGTATATGATATAAGTAAAATTGTCGTTATTTGAATAATATACTGTATTTTTGTACCATATGGGTTATTTTTATCTTTGGTTCCAATTTCATAAGTTTTTCGATTTTTGTCGCAAATATGTAAAACACTGGGCGGCGGTCCGATTTTCCTTCATTTTCTCTTCTTTAATGACGCGTTGCTTTTCACCAGTTTTCCGGCGTCACTTCCTCAATGGCTTAATCATTATTATTTTCGTACAAATCTTTCAACTTGGTACGTTGTCAAAAATGACAAACCTGTTTATCCGCATCGGATTTATAATAGTTTACCTAGGTTTACCTAAATTTGAGCAGCAGGTCAAAATTATTCTTCAAAGTTCTACGATTAACGTTTTTAGATGCCGATTTAAAAATTTCAAAAGTCCTCGAGCTCGTCGAGAAAAAAACATGTGGCATCAATAACAAAACGTAATAAAGAGCATTTCATTTTGTAAAGTGATGACTCTAGAGGTTAGCTTAAATAATTTACATCAATTACGAGCAAGCCATTAAACGTCTTGGTCTAGCTGCACCATTTAAATTCTAATTGTGTTGTTGTTCGTGAATCCCGTTTTTCCAAGAACATCGGAGGTGTTAGAATTCGCGTTATGCAAATGTCGTTGATTATTGTTTAAATCGAATATTAAGAACGCCTAATTGAAATGGTTGTTTATCGCATACATGAGATACAACGTGGACATGTTATATATGGACGATTCATTGTCGAAACGAATTTAAATTGGAGGTTTTTCATATTTTTTCATGTGTTCTTATTATTTAATCAGCCATAATAGTTTTCTGAATACATTTGTCTGGAGGCACGCACTAATATTAAATATTTATATAGTAAACTCTAAATACGGACGCCTACAAGGTTGTTTAAGCTAGCGAACAATGAATTTTTATTGCTAACATTTTTTTATTTTCTTTCTATACTTTAGCACCTTTACCTTAGTTCATTTCAATAGAAAAGACATAATGTATGTATAATCCATAGGTATTGCTTGGAAAAACAAAAAATAAACATTTTAACATTTTACAAACAAATACTGGAGAACAGCATTTATCCTTCCATGAGCATACAATGAATATGAGTTGAGGCAAACGAGACTTGTTAGTATCACCATGCGACCCGACTGAGTCCGGGCCATCTAGTGTGACATATTACCGGGCAAGTGGATGTCCAGGTAGCACATACGAAATCAGATTCTGGAACAATTCCTAAATTCAACTAGGGTTACATGGAATGTACAAGGGTTATTGCAGACTGGAAATAGTTTCATTTTGGAAAGAGAACTTAAACAGAATAAAATACACGTTTTATGTTGCTGGAACGGAAAAAACTGGTTGGAGCGGCATAGCAATGGTTATGCAAAGAAACATCTCCAAGTATGTAATAGAGTATAATCCTGTTAGTGGCCGAGTAATCAGAATTTCACTGAACGCAAGCCCAACTAGACTTCACATAATTTATGTGTATATGCCAACAACCGAATCACCAGATCAAGAAGTAGGAGATGTAGAGTATTTTGGATCGCGAATTCTCAAAGATACCAAGTGAAGACCAGTTGGTTATTATGGGCGACTTCAACCCAAACATTGGCAGTACGGATTAGAAAATCGGAATGAGAGAGGAGAGAGACTATTAAAATTCAATCAAAAACATCAAAGCCAATCCGCAGGCAGACTATGCATCCTACCACAAACTACTTTAGGTCAAAACCAAAACTAAACTAAAGAAACAAACTACCATCCTGGACCAAATATTGATGTAGAACTTTTTAAACGGTTCTTAAAAAACCACGAAGCTTCGGTCGTCGGCGGTAGGAACCTTGGCAGAGCACTAAAAAATGGATAAATGAAGAATCATCGAAAGAAACATCCCAAATTAAGAAAAAACACTGGATTAGTGATATCACCCTGCAGTTTTGTTCCCAGACGAAACTCAAGAGAGCCTAAAGTCTTCAGATGGCCGTGATAGAGTACGGCCCAGATATGTATTGAGTTACGAAAAGAGTTGGTTCTTATTCGTCTGTGGTCTATAGGAGATACTTTCATTTTCATGCAAGGACCGTTTTAGGTTACTTAACTGTAATCAACATCCAAAACTAGGAGTAGCTACAGCTTAACAAAGACTTCAATCCAATAGAGCACCTGTAGGGTACTTTAAAAAGATTGGTTTGGCGTCGCATCCCTTGTGTTAATTAGTCTGCACGAGTTAGAGCGTGTTGTAGTGTGGGAAAACATTCCTCAGCCAACCATCACAAACTTAAAATCAAGCTTACCCGGAAGAAGTGGAAGTGGTTATAAGGGCTCGACGACGTACCACAAAGTTATCGAAGTTCATTTATTTTTTGTAAACTGGAATTTCTCGTTGGAAAGTTAAGTAGATTTCGAAATTTTTTAATTAACATTTTTGAAAAAAAAAGTTCATACAATAATCGTAGTATATTAATGTTATATTTTTTAAGTTGGAAACCCTATCTATTATTTTTTAAAAATGCTCTACGCTTATTTCAAAAATATATAACATGTTATAGTTATTTTTTACATTAAGGCAGTCACATAGTTGGACGTGCACAATCATGACGTCACGCCAACGCTACGGCATTTGTTTAATTGTGACAGTTGTCAGTTGACAAAAAAAATACAAATATTATCGTTGTATATAAAAAAATTCTAACAATTTATTGATTACGAATGTTAAGAATAACAATATTGCGGTACATGTTGAAAATATCAATCATTTTCCTGAATACAAAATTACCTGTAACTTTAATTATCCCGTTGGGATTTAAATCACTAATATTATTTATTTCACTATTAATTGGTTCTTTAATGTCATCTATATTGTGATGCAGCCCAAAATTGGTTATATTTTTTACATATACCCCACAGAAAAAGTATCTGCAAGAGTAATATTTGGGCTCTCGACTGGCCGTAATATTGCATTATATTATTAAAATATTCTACCACTGAAGCAATAGAGCAAAGGGAAAAAAGTACCAGGTGAGAAATAACACAAAGAAAAATATTCAAGATATCAGTCAACTGTCGCAATCAAATAAAAGGCGTGGCGTTGGAGTGTGTCATGATGATGCATGGTCAACTAAATGAAGACTGAAATATTTATAAGGGCCTATGTGCTAATTTTCTGGTCTATGTACCATCGGGAACTTGCATATAAAATTTTACGATATTGTGCCGCTATCTTTAGGATATTGCGCATGACATTGTCTTTTACATTAATGTAACGAAAAGCTTGTTAAGTTACTTCAAGTGTGCACTTGGCCCATTTTGACTTTATCTTTCTAAACATAAACATAATAAACACTTTTTTCCGCAAACAAGTTTGTTTTCATTAATATTGTGGAATACATTATTTATTCCTAAGTCAAGTTTTGTGATTCGGCACTTGGGACCTATTACACATCAGCGTAAAATGTGTAAAGTTTCTTTTTATGAAATACTATGCTTTTTTGGCACGGTTTGTATATAAATAAGTATATAATATTAAATCTACACATTAAATCCTACATTCAATTTTGACCTGATCTCCAACTGCAAATTTCGTATTATTTTTCGAACTTAAATAAAGAAATAAACAAATATATCTGCCAGCAACAAAATTTAAATATTCAAAAATTCAGTTTTATTAATTTTATAAAAGCATTTAAATTATCACACTCCTTCATATTTTTTAGCAAACCTTTATTATTACTATTACTATTACATTTCAGAATTGCGCGCATTGCTTTGTGCTATACTCTCTGAAATTCTGTTAGTCTATAGTTGCGAATACTAAACAATAAAGTTGAACAATACCTCAGATGTGTCGCCGCTAAGTTGTTGTAAAATAACAATTTTTTGTAAAAGTTTTTGCCCGCTCTATATATAAAACCAACATTTTCAGAAAACTTTCTGATTATATAGTCACAATGTGCATCAATGTTTAATTGTGGATCTAATACAACTCCCAAATATTTTATGTGCATTATACTGCAATTTAACACCATTTATATTGATATTAACACTTTCTAGATCCAGACAGAATTTCGGTTTCGTGACATTAATGCTAATATTATTATTGCCCGGCATACGAATAATCGACACAAAGTGACATTGATATCTTGCTGCATTCGTTGGATATTCTTACTAACGACACATATTGTATTGCCGACAAATAATGTAACTTCATTGCTTTTCACAAATTGAGTTATATCATTTATATATTGCAGAAGCAATAATGGCCCTTAAACCGTCTTTTGTGGTACCTCACCAAGATAGACACAGCTGACTCATGCTTCACTTTTTGTGTTCTTCCAGACAAGAAAGGTTTTAAGCAATATATTATACAATTATGCCCATATCTTCAAACTTATCTATTAAACTATCCCCATTGACAGTCTCAAAAGCTCTTCGAAAGTCCAAAAACACAGCCAAAACAAAACTATTGTCATCAATAATAATAGTCTTTATTGTGAATTGAGATACATAATATATTTATATATCATACACCTTTTTGACAATACAATTTATAACAAGAGAACGGGTACTACAGAAAAACAAAATATAAACAAAAGAAAAAGAAAGCAAGCAATTATGGAAATAATTCTGTGAGTAATTAAAAGTTAGACGAAAAGGCCAATCAGCACTTCGTTTATCTGATAACACGTCTTTAATGTTCTTTCGAAACAGTTTTAAAGATGATAATGCAAAGAACTGTCTATGCTAATTAAAAGTTTTTGCCACATTATAGGTAAACCCCCGCTCGTAAAGAGCAGTTCTGTGTTGAGGCACAGTTAGCGATATTTATATTGTGGCTTTCACACCGAAAAACTAGCTTATCTTTTAAATAGGGAGGGCTAGAGACCTTTAAGATCTTGTTCGCGCAACAATAGCGCTAGTAAACTGGCCCCCTCCCCCCAACTTCCTCGCGCCGTGACTTTTGCTTTCGAGAGCGCAGAGTGGCCACTCGATAAACACAATACAACAACGCGGGCACCGCATAATACTTACTTAAGTAAGTAAGGAGGCATTGTCGAGACGCGAGCACGTGTCAAAAGCTTCCCGGACGGCCGCCATTGGTCGACCGGGATCCCCCACAACTAGTTACACCTGAGCCACAGGTAGAGGGTGGTTGTGGCATCCTCAGCAATCTCGATTCACTGGTTTCGTTAGTAGTTCGCTGACGCTCGCGGTAGTGCACGTTTTCAGAGGTGTTTTCCTTATCTATTTTCGTGTTGCCGCCCCTCCCCACCCCCGGCCGCGGCGACGGTGCATGTTGGATACTCCGTGTGCGATATTTTTGTGTCTGTTGTTACACTCCGTGTGCCGCACTGGATTATCCTCGTCTCAACCAAATCGGTAAGTGCTTAGAGAGTTATATGCGGCTCGACTATGTCCGTAGGTAAAGAGGATAAGCGCGTCAGACTGCGCGGCACCTCAGCGCCCGTCGCACTATAATGGGCGATCGGGTTACCGTAAATAGAAATGCAATTAAACGGCAGCGGTACCAGCAAGAAAAAAAGCCCGACCGACGGATTATTTTATCGGGATTTTCGCTTCGGTGATCATCACACGCCGAAGTGATAATTCGAAACGTTCCTTAGTCGTCTGAACGCAACCTTCGCGAACGTTTCCTCCGGCGATCGGTAGATTCCAGGAACGGGTTTAATTCACGCCTAATATGCGCACTTAATGACATTTCAAAACGTTTATTATTATTATCTCTGCGGGTCGTACCCGAATACTACCTGTGCTACGTACCTGACTATTGTTTTATTCTCTGTGCCCATTCTGGAGTAAATTGCGACGCTTGTCGGACTCGATCCGAGCGTTCGGAAAGGCTTGGGGCTGCGAAAGCGTGGGCAAAAATATTCACTAAATATCAATAAAAGTTTTTTTCAGTTTTTCTCAAAACAAAAACATATGTATATAAACATGATAAGGGGTCATGACTGTAATGATGCTAAATGAAACACAAAATGTATTAATTATGTTGCCTTCTTGGAAGAAGACTGGCACGATTAAAAAAACTCAATTTTTCGGGAGTTGTGGAATTCTATTTGATTAAAAAAATAAGTGAAATTATTGATGGCAAATGTATACCATTAATAAAAAGAATTGTGGAAGTCACAACAAAGCCAAAAAAAATTACATGTTTCTTTTTAAATGTGTCTTTTTTCTATAAAAAGAGGCATCGGAAGAAGACACAGATTATTCCAAAACGTTTATTTATGCTTACAAGTTTTCTTAAATATCTGAGTTTGTTGTTGTCAATGGTAAAAAATTTCGACGTGCAAATGTTAGCTCGGGTGTCCCTTGCGGATTTCATTTGGTTCCTTTAGTCTGTAATATTTTGTTTTATATGTTCATGCTTCTTTTGCCGATGATTTTAAAATAAAAAAAAGAGATTCGTTCACATTTAGATTACAGATTATTCTTAAATCTTCATATATGCCGATATATTCTATTTACAAGGAAAAATAATTTTATAGATATTAACTTACTGCTTGGTGGTAATAAACAGTTGAAAAGAGTAAAGCAAGTAAAAGACTTGGGAATTGTTTTTGACTCCCAGTTAAACTTTGAGGCTTATATCGAAACTACTGTCAAAATTTTTTGACAAAACTGGGCTTCATTTTGAGAACTACCAAAGGGTTCAACAATCATCAGTTGGTAAAATAATCGGGTATAATAGCATGATAAGGTCTCTTACATAATTGTAAATAATTTTGCGGATTAGTTTTTTTTTGTATAAATTACTTCAGCTTTAACGCTAATCTATATCAGGTGCGAACGAGACTGGCGTATTCTACTGAGTGATTTAGGTCGAAATACTTTTCTAACTCCCCTATAATAAAATGTACTCGGAGTTGTAATAATTGTGTAATAATTGGCATAAATATAGTTATGGTTAATTCGAGTTTTAGTTTATTTAAAACAAACATGTATAAACTTCTTTCGCTCGTAGTTATAATTTAGTAATAATTTATTTTGTTAAATAGTACAAGCCTATATTGTGCCAATCTGTAATTGGATAGCTGCGTAAGAATACGTACGAAATTTATTATGAATCGTGACATATTTAAAAACATAGCAGCCTGACTTCAAAAAAAGCGCTCAATTTTTATCGACAAAACAGTCACATTTGGAAACCTTTTGGAACTAAACAGGCACTCCATCCAAGCCATTCAAAACGTTCTTCTAAGAATCGGTTCGCACACTTCAACTTAATTTCATAATGACTCCCCTATGCTTGGTAAATATTGATAATCAAATTATTTCGTTTTTTTTTTCAGAAAACGACTATCATTTTGGAACAGTTTCAAACTCAAAAGCGCTATTTTTTTAGTCGTTTCACTCTTTTTCGTACTCGTAAATAGTATTGGAAAATTGTAAATGAATATTAAATAAAATTAGTGGCCAGAATAGTTTATTTTTCACTTCAAGTACATGATTAACACATTCTCTCGAACTGTTCTCTGGTACCAATTCCGACTGAGTTTTAATTAAATCATTTTCACGCATCAAATAGGTAGGTTTATTTTTGAAGAACTCCCAATGCTTCAACAACAAAAACAACGAAAGCCTATAACGCAAAGAACAAATAGAGGGGACAAAAACTAGTCATCATCTTTCTCGGAGTCTGATTCATGCATATCGATAACAACTGGGAGAATATAGATGCAACTTTTTCATTTCTCGAGCCCCACTGATCAGCTGAAACCTAAAACAAATACTCCATCAGAAGTATTATTTTACTTAGCAAGTGCTGCAGTCCATAAATGCTGTACAGCATCAGATGTTACGGGATCGATGGAACCATCTTTAACGCATTAAGTCAATAATGATAAAAACGTAGTCGCAAAACGCGCTGGCCATTTTCCAATGCTAGTTTGTCCATTCTTAAAACATTTTTTTGGAAATAATTTCATATTCAAAGAAAAATAGTTAGTAACTAGCTATGTTGTATGCTATGTGTTGTTGCTATGTGTGTAACTTAGTTATGTTTTCCCATGAAAAAGAAATATACTGAATTGAATCAAAAAGGTATCATTCTCACAAAGAAGCAGTGCCACAAATTATATTATTCATTTAAAAAAGGGAAACTTTCAAATTTTTTTCATATCTGCTACTATAAGTATACTACTTAATAAATACCTAATTAACAATTTTCAGAAACTTAAATTGCTCGTTCATAAAAATGAGATGGTTTTAAATATGGAGACAGTAAATACTTACATTGTGTTCAGCGTTTCGGGGTAAAATCGGCTGCCCTGCATTTTCGAGTGAAATAATGCACAAGTTCTACAATAAGGCTTTGCTCTTTTTCAGCAAATTGTTAGGACATTTTAAAAATTTTAATCTTGACTCGTCTTTTGACGCGGTTTTCAAAACTGCCAAAAAAATCCTGTATTACCTGTAAGACATCCAGCAATGAACTAGATAATGATGACCTGTTCCCAGTTCTCTATGTCCATCATCTTTAGATGCCTCTCTATATTGTCTTTTCAACTTTGGCGTGCTTTTTCTGGAGGTCTTCTTGCGCTTAGCCTGTATAACACGGTTTTAAGATCCTTTTTACCGCTTTAATTTCGTACCTTGCCGATGACAGCCTTATGGCTCAGTGTGCTTGTAATCCAGGGTTGGTTGGTCATCTCACTTATCTCACCGCATGTGCGATTTCTCCACTACTGGGTTGTTATTAGGTTTTATATGGGTCCAAAGATTTTTCTTAAAACTTTGTTTTTAAAGGACAGCAGCCTTTCCGATTCTCTTAGAGTCATGGTTGTATCTTGAGTTTTACTAAGAGCTGCTCCATTTTCCTCTATGTATCCTACACTCTATATCCTTCTTAATATCATTTTTTCATTGATTTGTGTACCGAGGTTTTTAAGCTCCTTGACTCTTTCGAACGCGGAATTTGGAATGGAATGGAATTTTCTTGCATTTAGTTTTCTCTTTGTTACCGTTTAGCCTTATTCTTTTTCGCCTTTTTTTCTATTGGCTTATACAGTCTTTTAAAGTTAAACTTCTTTCCTACTTCCACTCTCTTAGAAGCCCTCTAATTACACATTCCAGCATGAAATTAAAAAATAATGGCGAGAGAGCATTGCCCTGTCTGACCCAATTTGAGGGATCTAACTTTATTCCACAAATAGTATAAACGTTGCTTCCGGACTCCCACTGTTTTGTCGTGTGTTGAATATTTGATCTGTTGTCCTTCCTTTTCGTAACCCACACTCATACTCTCCAATATACGTATTAGGATATTGGCTAGCACCTTGTATGCGACAGATATGTCCCTGTAATTTTGGCATACCTTTCACTGCCTCCTTCCACTCATTTGGTATTTTCTCTTTTTTCTATATTTGACTGATAGGTTGCAGTTGTCACGTCATAATTGTTCCCATTTGTTTAAGAAGTTCGGCCTGAATGTCTAGCGGTTTTCTTCTTTTTAGTAGTAACTCCTGGAAATATTGTTTACATCGTTCTATTTTTTAAAAATATAAACTAAATAATTTATGTATAATTTAAAACACCTAATTATACACCATTCTAGCTTTATTAGATATTACCGCCCGGGTTTGTTAGCAATCGGATGTTTTCGGAGATTTTACCGCATGGCTTGAATTTTGACGTTTGTCCCTTCTGACGGTCATGTAAGTGAATGTGTTCGTGTTGTTTTGCAAAAATGTACCCAAAATTTAAAGGTCGTAGAAAAAGTATAGTATGCGAAACGTTTGGTAAACTTTTTGAAGTCACTCGTTGACTAAAGACTCTTAACTCAAATGCCGTTTATCCCACTTATTGCATAATATACTCTATATAGTATATACTATATAATATCAGGAGTTTCAACAACCAAATGATCTAATGCACCATATCTATTCTATCACACACTGGTTTTTGACGTTTTACGTCATGTAACAGACTTGGGGGTGGTCCCACAGCTTTGTAAGTAGCATGATTTAATTTCTCTTCAAAATTCTAATTGGCATTCAATGCTGTATTTCTATGACATCAACAAAACATGTGAAAATAGGCTACCTCCATTTCATGCTGCCTATACTTACATATACCTTGATGCATTCTTGTCCATCTGGACATTTGATTCCATTTCTCTCTATCTAGGCATGTTACTTTAAGTCATGGCTGGTTCCTTGTAATTTTCTATTTTCCCTTGTAAATGTCCAGGTTTGAGAGTCATACGCGAGGACAGGGATTATACAATGCTTGAATATTCCAAATTTTAAGTACGGAGTATTTCTTATTTTTGAAGGTATAGAAAAGGTTTTCCAAATGATACGCATCATATTTACTAATCAAAAATAGAAGAGGTAGCATGATAATTTTTTTCG